ACCTCAACGACCGCTTCCTCAACAAAACCGCTGTGGGGGTGGCGATACTCATCCCCCGCATGTTTCAAGTGCGTTTGGAGGAGTGCCCTGGAATGGCAGATTACGTCGCTGAGATTCAAGGGATTCATCAGGAGCTGAAGCAACTCGGCATTGTCTTCCCAGAGCAAGCCCCTGCAGCAGCTCTGCTTGTTGGGCTAACCCCCTCCTACAATGTCACCCGCTCCATGCTTCTCCATCTCCCGCCAGAAGAGCTAACCTTTGCCAAAATCTCTTCCGCACTTCTCTCTGCTGAAAAAGACAACACTGCGCAGGCTCGTGCAAATGCGCTTCGTGCTCCTGTCCCGGCTCCAGCATCGCGTCCCAATCCGCCACCCACTCGTAACCGCTACCCACCCTGTCCTTACGTCATCAAGATGGGACCCCGTGCGGGTCAGGTGTGCAGCGGCACCAATCACCCGCTCGCCACCTGCTTCAAGAAGAAGGACGACGACTGGTTCGCCAAGAATGGTATCAACTCCAAGCCGCCCAACTGGCTTCGCATGTGCCAGCTCAACCATGTTGAGGCACAGGATAGTCAGGACTCAGCCGTTCATGCCCCTAGTCCTGATGTTCGTCTCAACTTGTTGTTCCCTGGCCTTCCCATGATCAATGAAACCAGTTCCCAGTACTCGGCGTCTCCACAAACACCATCCAAACCACTTGAATTCGTCCTGGACAGCGGCGCAACCCACACAGTCCTCCGAGACAAAGAGTCTTTCAAACCATACCAAGCACCCATCCCTCTCCCGGGCGCTGACTCCAGCTTCTCAACTGTTGCCCATGGTTCCTCCACTCTTCCATGCCCAGCCTTCCCATCTGGCACAGTCACTGGCCTATGCGTGCCCACTCTTCGGCACAACTTACTTGCACAACATGAGATTCAACGAGCAGAAGTAACCACTATCTTCCCGGCTCATTCCAATCATTGTGATCTCCTTGATCCCAACAACAATGCCCTCCTTGCACGCTTCATACTGACCGCCAACAACCTCTACACACTCCAAGTACCTCCATCTTCCACTGAAGCACACTCTACCTCCACCACATCATCATGCTCCTGCCGTCAACTCACCGACCCAACCATTCTTTACCACCATCGTCTCGGACATCCCAACTTCCGCATGCTCTCCGAACTTGCGTCTAAGAAGTTGCTTCTTCACCTGCCCGACACACTTCCTCCACCCGCCACTTCTCCCGCTCCTCCATGCTTGGACTGCGCGCAAAGTAAACTACGCCAGCTGCCTCACCCTTCCTCGCCCTCCGCTGCAGCCGCCCCGCTTGACCTCGTCCACATGGACGTCTGGGGCCCAGCTCCACTACGCTCTCGTGGTGGGCACTCTTACTTCCTAGTGCTCGTTGACGATCACTCTCGCTATGCGTCCGTCCACCTCCTCTCCTCCAAAGCAGCTGTTCCCGATGTCGTCATCGCATGGGTTCGACAAGCCCAAAATCATTTCCGCACTTCAGTCAAGTGCCTCCATTCCGATGGCGGTGGCGAATTTCGAAACCATTCCCTTCAAGCGTTCTGTGCCTCCCAAGGCATTCGCCAGACCTTCACCCTTCCCCACAGTCCGCAGCAGAATGGCATTGCTGAAAGTCGCAATCGCACTCTCGTGCAAATCGCTCGCTGTCTTCTCACTCACGCTGGTGCACCACCTTCACTTTGGAGTTACGCCCTCCTTCATGCCACGCTGCTGTACAACCTTCACCCTCACCCTCTTCGTCCTGCCATCACTCCCGCTGAACTGTGGACCGGCACCAAGCCCAGTGCACGTGCTCTCCGCGTATGGGGGTGTACCGCTTATGTCCTCCTCAACCCTCAGGAACGTCGCACCCATGGCGGCAAATTTGCACCCAAAGCTCAACCCTGTGTCTACCTCGGCCACAACCTGGACTCTCCCGATTACCTTTTCCTCAATCCCTCCACCAATCAGCTCATTCGTAGCCGCGATGTCGCCTTTGACGAGAGTCGCCCTTTTTACCTCTCTTCACCACCCACCACCGCTCCACCTTCGCTTGTGTGGGCCGATTTCGATACCTCACCCTCTCCACCTCCTCCCTCTACCGCTCCTCCTGCGGCCCCCTCACTCTCACCTCCACCATCTCCTTCCACTCTCTCTCACCCCTCTTCGCCCACTGGCTCAGTTGCCCGTTCACCTCCGCCCGCGCCTGCACTTCCCCCTGCACCCGCTCCTGCAGCTGCCCCTCCACCTCCCTCTCCTTCTGCGCCTCCCCCTGCCCCTGCACCTCCATCCCCGCCTTCACCTCCGCTTCCGCCTCCAACCTCGACCTCTCCTCCTGACTCGCCCATCACCTATCGTCGCCGCCGCCACGGACGCTCTTATGTCGACGTCCCACCTGCTCCCCCACCACCCCCCTCCTCTCCTGTCCCTATTGCTCACCGCACTCGCTCTCATGGTCCCGCTCCGCCTCTCGCCCTCTTTGTTCGTATCTCCCTCCATCCGCCTCCTCCTGCCGGGGGTGCATCCATGCCTGGCCTCTTGGAGGATAGGCATGAGGAGCTGATCGAGATCAATGCTGCCATCCGTCAGCTCTGCCATCTTTTCCCCGATCTTGCCGACTCTCCAACTCTTAACTTCTCGGAAAATCCATCGATTCCAACCCCGAACTCGTATGATGAAGCCATCTCCGGACCACACTCCCCCCAGTGGCTCGCAGCCATGATCGCGGAGTGTGAAGCCTTCATTCGCAACAACTCTTTCACGGACATCTCTCCTCCGCGAGGAGTTAACATTGTCCGTGGCAAATGGGTTTTTCGCGTCAAGCAGCTGCCTGGCAAACTCCCAGTCTTCAAGGCACGATACTGTGCAAAAGGCTTCACGCAGAAGAAGGGCCTGGACTTCTTCGACACATTCTCTCCGACAGCCAAACTGCCCACGCTTCGGACCCTGCTGGACATCGCTGCTCGATGCAACTTTGACATTCACTCCATGGACGTCTCTGCTGCATTTCTCCAAGGGGATCTCCCCGAGGACATCTACATGGAGCGTCCTCAAGGATTTCCCTTACCCTTTCCACCTGGCACGGTCTGGAAGCTGAATCGACCAGTCTACGGGTTGAAGCAGGCTCCTCGGGAATGGCACAAGAAGCTGAAGGCAACCCTCGAGTCACTCGACTTCCACCCCTCCTCAGCCGATCCGAGTCTCTTCATTCGCAAGAACGAGAACCCGTTCTTCATTCTCGTGTACGTTGACGATATGATTCTCGTCTCCAAGAACTCCGATCAGCTGGCAGCTGTTAAGCAAGCTCTTGGGGACGCTCTCGCCATGAAGGACCTCGGGGAACTCAAGAACTACCTTGGGATGGAAATCTCGCGGGATCGCGAAGCTCGAACCATCACTCTCTCTCAAGAGTTCTATCTGAACAACGTCCTCAAGCGTTTTTCCATGGACAACGCCAAGCCAGTGGCCACTCCCCTTCCCTTGCAGCATGATCTGACCACACCATCAGTTCCATCGCCTGAGCCTTGTGATGAGGCATACCCCGAGCTCGTCGGATCACTCATGTATGCGATGATGTGCACAAGGCCCGACCTCGCCTACCCCATCAGTGTGCTCTCGCGTTACGTTGCTGCCGGTCGATACACCAATCGCCACTGGTCGGCTGCTAAGCGCGTCCTTCGCTACCTCCAAGCCACCAAGGACTACGTCCTCACTCTCGGTGGCATGACCCCTCCTCACCTCGAGGGATACAGCGACTCCTCCTGGGCTGATGATCAAGCTGACCGCCGCTCTTCCCAAGGCTATTGCTTCACCCTTGGCAGTGGTGTCATCAGCTAGCGATCTACACGCTCATCATCTGTCTCATTGTCATCTTGCGAAGCTGAGCTATACGCAGGCACCATGGCAGCCCAAGAAGCTCAATGGCTTACCTACCTCATGGCTGAGCTCGGGTATCCTCAGCAGACCCCGACTCTGTAGTGTGATAACGAGAGCACCATCCACCTCACCAAAGACCCTGTCTTCCACCAACGAACCAAGCATATCGAATTGAGACACTTCTTCATGCGCGAGCTCGTCCAGCGAGGGCAGTTGTGCGTCAAGCATATTTCCTCTGACTGCAACCTCGCCGACTTGTTTACGAAGGCTCTTGGACGCCGTGATCACTATCGTCTCCTCCGTACCATGGGACTTGGTGTCTCTCCGGCTTCCGACGTTGCAGCCTAGGGGGTGTATTGGAGATAGGCTGCAATTCGGTTAACACAACTTTGTGTGTTGGCACTTTGTTGGTTTTAGGGATACACAAATTTGTTAGGTTGGGTGTAGCAATGTTTTCATCCCCAACCTATCCCAACCCAATCCATCCCAAATCCCCACGATTTGGGAGGATTCCCTTGAGATTCCCTTCGATTCTCCCTTATCCCTTGCCATCCTCTCCGATGCTCGGTACTTAAGGATGTATGCTCTTGCTCATTTTAATCAATCAAGTTCTCAGTTTTTGATACCCACGTCTTGTCACACACCCATGTCCTGTCACACACCCATGTTCTATCACACACCCATGGCCTGTCACACACCCATGTCCTATCACACACCCATGGCTTGTCACACACCCATGGCCTGTCACACACGCATGGCGTGTCACACACCCATGGCTTGTCACACACCCATGTCCTGTCACACACCCATGGCCTGTCACATACCCATGTCCTATGACACACCCATGTCCTATGACACACCCATGTCCTATGACACACCCATGTCCTATCACACACCCATGGCTTGTCACACACCCATGGCCTATCACACATGCATGGTGTGTCGCACACCCATGGCTTGTCACACACCCATGTCCTGTCACACACCCATGGCCTGTCACACACCCATGTCCTATGACACACCCATGGCCTGTCACACACCCATGGCCTCTCACACACCAATGGCTTATCACACACCCATGGCCTGTCACACACCCATGGCCTGTCAGACACCCATGGCCTGTCACACACCCATTTCCTGTCACACACCCATGGCCTGTCACACACCCATGGCCTGTCACACACCCATGTCCTATCACACACCCATGACCTGTCACACACCCATGGCCTGTCACACACCCATGACATTTAACACACCCATGGCCTATCACATACCCACGTCGTGTCACACACCCATTGCCTGTCACACACCCATGGCCTGTTACACACCCATGTCCTGTAACAAACCCATGTCCTATCACACACTCATGGCCTGTCACACACCCATGTCCTATCACACACCCATGGCTTGTCACACACCCATGGCCTGTCACACACCCATGGCCTCTCACACACCAATGGCTTATCACACACCCATGGCCTGTCACACACCCATGGCCTGTCAGACACCCATGGCCTGTCACACACCCATTTCCTGTCACACACCCATGGCCTGTCACACACCCATGGCCTGTCACACACCCATGTCCTATCACACACCCATGACCTGTCACACACCCATGGCCTGTCACACACCCATGACATTTAACACACCCATGGCCTATCACATACCCACGTCGTGTCACACACCCATTGCCTGTCACACACCCATGGCCTGTTACACACCCATGTCCTGTAACAAACCCATGTCCTATCACACACTCATGGCCTGTCACACACCCATGTCCTATTACACACCCATGGCTTGTCACACACCCATGGCCTGTCACACACGCATGGCGTGTCACACACCCATGGCTTGTCACACACCCATGTCCTGTCACACACCCATGGCCTGTCACACACCCATGTCATATCATACACCCATGGCCTGTCACACACCCACGACCTGTCACACACCCATGGCTTATCACACACCCATGGCCTATCACACACCCATGGCCTGTCAGACACCCATGGCCTGTCACACACCCATGTCCTGTCACATACCCATGGCCTATCACACACCCATGGGCTGTCACACACCGATGTCCTGTCACACACCCATGGCCTGTAACACACCCATGGCCTGTCACACACCCATGGCCTGTCACACACCCATGTCCTATCACACACCCATGGCTTGTCACACACCCATGGCCTGTCACACACGCATGGCGTGTCACACACCCATGGCTTGTCACACACCCATGTCCTGTCACACACCCATGGCCTGTCACATACCCATGTCCTATGACACACCCATGTCCTATGACACACCCATGTCCTATGACACACCCATGTCCTATCACACACCCATGGCTTGTCACACACCCATGGCCTATCACACATGCATGGTGTGTCGCACACCCATGGCTTGTCACACACCCATGTCCTGTCACACACCCATGGCCTGTCACACACCCATGTCCTATGACACACCCATGGCCTGTCACACACCCATGGCCTCTCACACACCAATGGCTTATCACACACCCATGGCCTGTCACACACCCATGGCCTGTCAGACACCCATGGCCTGTCACACACCCATTTCCTGTCACACACCCATGGCCTGTCACACACCCATGGCCTGTCACACACCCATGTCCTATCACACACCCATGACCTGTCACACACCCATGGCCTGTCACACACCCATGACATTTAACACACCCATGGCCTATCACATACCCACGTCGTGTCACACACCCATTGCCTGTCACACACCCATGGCCTGTTACACACCCATGTCCTGTAACAAACCCATGTCCTATCACACACTCATGGCCTGTCACACACCCATGTCCTATCACACACCCATGGCTTGTCACACACCCATGGCCTGTCACACACCCATGGCCTCTCACACACCAATGGCTTATCACACACCCATGGCCTGTCACACACCCATGGCCTGTCAGACACCCATGGCCTGTCACACACCCATTTCCTGTCACACACCCATGGCCTGTCACACACCCATGGCCTGTCACACACCCATGTCCTATCACACACCCATGACCTGTCACACACCCATGGCCTGTCACACACCCATGACATTTAACACACCCATGGCCTATCACATACCCACGTCGTGTCACACACCCATTGCCTGTCACACACCCATGGCCTGTTACACACCCATGTCCTGTAACAAACCCATGTCCTATCACACACTCATGGCCTGTCACACACCCATGTCCTATCACACACCCATGGCTTGTCACACACCCATGGCCTGTCACACACGCATGGCGTGTCACACACCCATGGCTTGTCACACACCCATGTCCTGTCACACACCCATGGCCTGTCACACACCCATGTCCTATCATACACCCATGGCCTGTCACACACCCACGACCTGTCACACACCCATGGCTTATCACACACCCATGGCCTATCACACACCCATGGCCTGTCAGACACCCATGGCCTGTCACACACCCATGTCCTGTCACATACCCATGGCCTATCACACACCCATGGGCTGTCACACACCGATGTCCTGTCACACACCCATGGCCTGTAACACACCCATGGCCTGTCACACACCCATGGCCTGTCACACACGCATGGCGTGTCACACACCCATGGCTTGTCACACACGCATGGCGTGTCACACACCCATGTCCTGTCACACACCCATGGCTTGTCACACACCCATGTCCTGTCACACACCCATGTCCTGTCACACACCCATGGCCTATCACACACCCATGTCCTATCACACACCCATGGCTTGTCACACACCCATGGCCTGTCACACACGCATGGCGTGTCACACACCCATGGCTTGTCACACACCCATGTCCTGTCACACACCCATGGCCTGTCACACACCCATGTCCTATCACACACCCATGGCCTGTCACACACCCATGGCCTATCACACACCCATGGCTTATCACACACCCATGGCCTGTCACACACCCATGGCCTGTCAGACACCCATGGCCTGTCACACACCCATGGCCTGTCACACACCCATGGCCTATCACACACCCATGGCCTATCACACACCCATGTCCTGTCACACACCCATGACCTGTCACACACCCATGTCTTGTCACACACCCATGTCCTGTCACACACCCATGGCCTGTCATGTTGTAAAATATATATAATTCACGGCTCCCGCGCACGCCTGTCGACAAATCCTCCCGTCGCGCCCGTACTCTCCGCACCCGTCGCCTTTCTGCCGCCGCGCACGCACGGCTGTCGGTCGATTTCTCCGCCGCGTGCGCCTGCCCGTTGTCGATTCCGCCGTCGCGTGCACTCGTTCGTCACGCCATTTCGGCGTGCAGCCGGTCGCCGCATCCTCCTCCCTCCGCGCAGCTATCCTTCTTTGACCTCCCCCTTCTTCTCCTCCTTTCCTTTTCCTCCTCCTTTCCTTTTCCTCCTCCTTTCCTTTTCCTCCTCCTTTCCTTTTCCTCCTCCTTTCCTTTTCCTCCTCCTTTCCTTTTCCTCCTCCTTTCCTTTTCCTCCTCCTTTCCTTTTCCTCCTCCTTTCCTTTCCTCCTCCTCCCCCCCCTTCCTTCCCCGCCTCTTAATGGCGTCCGATTCCTCGGTTGACCTTACCTCCGTCGACGCTCTTGAGCTGCTGCCCGACAACACCGCGGTCAATTGGCATTCCTATGCCCAAACCGTCACAGTGCTTCTCTCCTCGGTGACGATCAACGGCTACAACCTGAAAGCCATTGTCCATCTCAAGGAGCGCGGTCTTCAGCCTGCCCAGCCGGATGCTCCCGCGGGCCCTGCACCTCCTCCTCCTGGCGATGCTCCCATCAGCCCTGGCGATCCTCCACCCTTCGCCCCTGACGTCAACGACCCTCAGAGCTCCGAGACCGCTATCCGCACCTACCGTGCCGGCCTCACCGACCACGTCCGCCAGCAACTGCTCTTCGAGGCTTCCCGCGCCGAGCATGACGCCGCCACTGCCGCCTACAACACGTATCAGGCGGCGCTCGCGGAGTACGTCAGGCGCGAGCGCGCATACATCACCGACCTTGCCGCCTGGCGTGTCGCTGACCGGCGCGCGCTCACCATCCTCCTCGCCACCATTCCTCCCACCCTCAAGCGCGAGCTTGCTCCCACCTCCTCCTCCCACCTCTGGTGGCTCCTCACCGATCTCTATGATCAGCACGACGTCGCCACCCTCTACTCCCTCATCAAGGAGTTCCAGAACCTCACCATGGACTCTACCACCGGCGCAGCTGCCTTCACGCGTCGCGTCCCCGACCTCGCTCGGCGCCTGGCAGCTCTTGGCGTGCCGTACCCTGACCCAGTGCTCTGCTGCCACCTCCTTGAAGGCTTGACTCCTGCTTTCAACACCCACAAGATCGCCTACATGCAGCTGATCGACAAGCGCATCACGCCGGCTGAAGTCGCCCAGTGGATTATCACCACCGAGGCCGACCTCTTGCGCCATTCCTCCTCAACTGCCGCTGTTTCTCAGCAGCGCAACACCAAGGGAGGGCGTGAGGGTGGGCATGGTGCTGGTCGTGGTGGTGGTGCGGGTCGTGGTGGCAGTGGCGCAGGACGTGGTGCAGCAGCCGCCTTTCCTCTTTGTCAGTATCTCCCTCGCTATGGCCCCACGCAGGGTTAGCACTGCGGCCAGACCACTCATGCCACTCATTCCTGCTTCAAAGCGCTCAGTGATGAGTGGTTTGCCCACGGCAACACCAGCACCCCCCTCCGTTGGTCCCCCTTCTCCCCTCGCCCCACTCCTCAAGAGGTTCGTACCTCCCCTCTCTTCCAGCCCGTCTCCTCCTTCTTGGCCCACCAGGCCGTGTCTCAGCAGCAGCAACAGCAGCAGACTCCGCAGCAGATCCTGCCGCAGCCATTTCAGCAGCAGCAGCAGCAGCAGTTCCAGCTGCAGCACCAGCAGCATGGGCAGTAGCACCTCTTCTCCTAGCTGCAGCAGCAGCTCCAGCAGCAGCTTGACCTCCAGTCGCAGCTCCCCCTTGCACCTCCTCCTACCCTTCTATGTATTCGGCTGCTACTAATGATAATGTGATTCAGTACTCTGTCCCACCTCCTCCCCCACATCCTCCCCCTTCCACCACGCTGGACTTTTTCCTTAACAGTGGAGCCACCGATTCAGTCCTTCGTGATGCTGGTACCCTTCACCCTCTCCCAGCCCCCACCTCCCTCCTTGGTGCCGATTCCAGCTTCTCTATTCCCTGTCGCCACACCTTTACCCTCCCCTGTCCCCTCTTCCCCTCAGGTACCGTCACTGGTTTACACATCCCCTCCCTCCGTACTAACCTCCTCTCCCAGCGATCCCTGCAGCAGGCCGGTATCACCACCGTCTTCCCAGGTCGCGCTAATCACTGCCTCCTATACCATCCCACAGGTCGCCTCCTCTCCCGTATTCCCTTTTGTCCTCGCTCCCACCTATATTCCCTTCGAGTTCCTCATCTTCCCTCTGCCCAGGCAGTCTCCCGCTCCCTTCCCCCACGTCACATCCCTCCCCCTCCTCTCCCTCCTACTAACCCAACCATTCCCCCCCTCCCCCCTGACCCAACCTGCTCCTATCAATCCCTCTCCCATCCCACCGTCCTCCTCCACCACAGGCTTGGTCACCCCAACTTTGCCACCCTCCGCTTGACCGTCTCCTCAGGTCTCCTTCGAGGTCTTCCCCTCACCCTCCCTCCCCTCCCCCCCTCCCTTGCCCCTCCCTGCTCCGTCTGTGTCCAGAGCAAGCTCAAGCAGCTGCCGCATCGGAGTTCCCCCTCCGCTGCTGCTCAGCCGCTTGATCTTGTTCACATGGACCTCTGGGGCCCCAACCCCCCCCCTTCCCGCCAGGGCCATCGCTACATGCTTGTTCTGGTCGATGATCACAGCCGATATTCGTCCGTCTCCCTTCTTCGCTCGAAGGGTGATGCTCCGGCTGCGATCATCGCCTGGCTCAAGCAGGCAAGCACCCACTTTGGCCGCCCTGTGCGCCGCCTTCACTCTGATGGCGGAGGCAAATTCCTTAATCGTCAAGTAGCCTCCTACTGTGAGCTTCATGGCATTCGCCAGACTCACACCCTCCCCCACTCCCCCCAGCAGAATGATGTGGCCGAGAGCCGTGTTCGGGAGATCACCAAGATTGCTCGGTGTCTCCTCGTCCATGCCTCTTGCCCCCCTTCTCTGTGGGGCTATGCCCTCCTTCACGCCACCCTCCTTACTAACCTGTACCCCCACCCTATCCTTCCCTCCACCACTCCCACCGAGCTCTAGATGTCGGCCAAGCCTGACGTCTCCTCCCTCCGTGTGTGGGGCTCCAGGGCGTATGTCCTCATTCACCCTGCGGACCGCCTCCGCACCATGGGAAAGCTCGCCTCCCGTACCCTCCCCTGCATCTTCCTTGGTCATAATCCCTCCTCCTCGGACTACCTCTTCCTTCACCCCCCATCAGGTCGTTTCCTCCGCAGTCGGGATGTAGTCTTTGATGAGTCCACACCCTACTATTCCACTCCTCCCTCCACTGACCCTCTCGCCCCTGCTCCCAGGCCCCTCAACTGGTCCGACACTATCCCACCCCCTCTTCTCACTCCCCCTCCCATCCTCCCCCCCGCTCCACCTCCTCCATTCCCCGCCGCCTCGGTCCTTAGCGCTCCCCCCTCCTTTGGTGACATATTTGACCCTGACCCTTTTTTTCCCCCCGCCTCCCCGTCCCACTCCTCCCCCTCTGCTCCCTCCCATCCTCCCCCCTCCCCTCCTCCCCCCTCTCCCCCGCGACCCGCTCCCCCCCTGCGTCCCACCTGCTCCATCCTCACCCGGTATCCCCACACCAGGTCGCGTGACGCAGTCCTAGGTGCCCCGCCTCCTGTTATCCTCTCTTCCTCTACCT